AGCTAAAGGGGCTCCCAAGTAGAGCTCCATACTAATTGCCTATGATTTGCACAGGACCGTCGTCCTCGGAGGCCTGAGTGACACTCAAGATTCATCGTTACTCTTCTGGTCGTTGAAATTATTCACTTGAGGTTTAGAGGCAGTTAACAGTTAAGAGAGCAACTATCACTTTTGAGCCACGTACAAGCATCTGAGGATTACGATCTGTGGAAAACTTACGGCCTGAAAGAAGAGTTCTGCAAGTCAAAAAGAAAAACGTTTTGTACCCGAGCCTTCTTATATAATTTGGCCTGCTTCAAGATGAAGCTTTCCCGGGTACGCATTCGCTTGCTAGTCATGCACGAATGGTGCGGGGGAAACGCCAGGCCCGACCGCGATAATTCAGCTTGTTCTCTCCTGATTTGAACTTTGCGAAAAACTAGTTATTGCTTGCTTGAAGTTTTAGGTCACCTAAGAAGAAAGTTGTTGATGCCATTCTTTCCGACTTTTCCGACTGGGATGAATCACCCATAAAACAAGGTCTGTAACTTCGTTCTTTCTATGGGAGCGTTGTTTGAACGCTTAGAACATAGTCTTACTTCAGTGCTTCTGGAAAACAGTTTTACTTCAGTGTGGAAACCGCTTCAGACTGTGGATACTCAGCCCCGAGTTTGACGCTGAATTGTACAAATCTATTTTCAGCAACAGCGCCGCCTTCCCAGAACGGCCAGTTACATCGTTCTGCTGAAAAGGAAAATTCCGAACTTGACGACTCGTTCGATGATCCAGTCATACCTAGTGAGTATACATGTTTGTAGATGTGTCCTAACTTTGAGAAGTATTAGGTACCTAAAAAACTCTCAATTTCTGTTTGAGATCTGCTGGAGACTCTTAGTTGATTGCACTTCCGTTGAATTTAATCACTAAAGTCCTAGCCTTTTCCATTTATGGCCCCTTCTGATAAAGCTGTACGGTTCTGTTTCAGAAAAGAGACCTGCTGCCGTACGCGTAGGCAAACCTGAACAACCCAGCGTTGAAGTGCGTTCTGATGAAAAACAGGACCTGCCCGCTATTGGTAAATCTCTTTGAATGCATTGCTTTCTATGATCTTAGCGATTTCCTCTTTTAAGACAGCGGAATTCGACGGATTCCCTTCGCTTAATGATTCGAAAAGTGAAGTTCTCCTGACCGTTCGTGAAGTCAAAAATGAAGATGGGTTGGTGGATTTAGTGTGCGTAAGGGACGATGGCCAGCAGTCAGTGGTGTACCTTCAGGTAAGTGGAAGCTCATAAACTTTTGTTGTGTTTCCTTTCAAGAGACCATTATTTTTATGCACTTAGCACAAGGTGATCAATATTGTCCTAGGACCACTGGACTGAGGTGGATGTAGAGCCAAATACAAGGATCAGGCTGATTGGTGCAAAGCCTTGGGGAGACTCCGTAAGTGTGGTGTTTCACCGTTCCACAAAAAATCTCTTCACACGTGCAAGGTTCACAGCTCTTTCTTATTCCTACTTTATAGGACTGGTTGCTCTCAAACGAGCATGGTATTATGATCGTTGCTCCGGACACTTTGGTACCGTGCACAGCTATAGCCGGTGCTACGTGGTGCCCTCGTAAGGTTTGTTATCTCACCGTTATTCATATATTCAGAATTGAGCTCAGTAAAAATCAGGTTATCCTCAATGAGCGTTTTCGTGGTCCTACTGAAGCCAACAAGGCCATGCTTATCGGAATCGTTGTGCACGAGTTGTTCCAGGTATTCTATTTAGAACTTCTTAGTTGTTCTCTTTTCCAGATTGTCCGCTTTTTCTGCTCACAGAATGGTTTCGCTACAGTTTTGTTCGCTGCTAATGATGAGGCATGTCAGGGGGACGAGTTTTTTCCTCTTTTTTTTGGTGGCAAGCAACAATATTGTATCATTTCACTCGTGTCGTTTTTTTACAATGTGGTCTTGATTACTCGCTCCAACCATGGTGGAGAACGGACTTGTGTGCCAAAGCTGTGCCAGACCCAGCCTTACCGACACGCCCTTTCATCCTCACTGATACGCCCCCATCCGCGGCAAGACTGTATCTCGGAAGCAGTAAATGCTCCACAGACTGTATCTCGGAAGCAGTAAATGCTTCACAGAGGATTGCGAAGTAATATGATTCCAGGCAGCTCTTCGTTGCCCAACTCCTCGAACTGTTTCTCGTGATTGGCTGCTTCACATTTGGCAAACAAGTATATGTGACGAAGTCATTGCACAGTTGGTGGCTCTTCGATTTACACCATCGCAATTCGAAACCGAACTCGATCCGTATCTTAGAAGTTAGTCTCCTCTTTCTACTAGACTGCTTTTCTTTTCTTCTACGTTCTTTTAGATTATTGTGGACTGGATACAGATCAACATGCCTGGAGGAAGATCATATCCGAACTCATCTACAATTCCCATCTCAAAGGTGAACTACTGCTAAAACAGAGACATTCCTGTTTTCAGGACCACCCTTCGTCGTTCAATCCAGTTTTTCCAGGTACACGATATTGAAGAAAATATATGGGTCCCACAGTTAGGACTGAAAGGAAAAGTAGACGCTACATTAGAGGTTGGTAACCCCCTACAGAGTCACCTAAGATGATTGGAAGACATTGTATTAGGTCAAATGCGGTTCAAGAACTCGAATGCAATCGCTTCGAACTGAAAACTGGGAAGAGCGGGCAATCCTCTGAGCATTCTGCCCAGGTAACTTCTACCTTTCTGTACTTCTAGGTTTGTTTTTTGTCTGTTTCGGAATTTGCCTATCACAGGTGATGCTTTATTCGCTCATGCTTTCGTCACGCTACAAGCAGCCCATTGTAGAGGGTTCTCTGTTATATCTGAAGGATGGAATAACTCGTAATGTCAAACCGCGTGCCCTGGAAATGAAAGGCATTATTAGTCAGCGAAATCGCTTGGCATCTTACCTTTCGAAATTGAAGCCTGATCTGCTGCCTGGTTAGTTACTCGTTAACTAGCTACAAATAACTTTGTAGTGCTCGGTATAATCAGCAAAACTTCATTCGAAACATTTCGACCCGTCTATTGTTATCAATCCCAACATTTACAGCGCCCAAAGATGACCCAAAGTTCTGCGACAGGTGTGACCACGCTTTGGTGTGCTCATACTATCAGGTATTTCGATTTCATATGTTCTTACTAGATACACTGAGAAGCTTTCTGCAGATTTCAAAGTAATATAATGATTGCATAAGAGGAGGTGATATAGACAAGTAGCTCGTTCACCACGTTCACGGTCCGATGGTCAAATCCCAGTGGCGCCCAGGCTTTTCACTTTTCGGGGCTGCTGAATTGGTACCGAACTTGTTCGAAAGGATGAACACTGACTTAGGCTGCGTTTATACTTTGCGGCAGCGTAGCGCTTCCAGCGTACGCCAGCGGCAGTGTCGGGGAAAGGATAGATATCGATCTAGCGTTCCCAGCGTTTCACTAGCGTTTCGCTAGCGCTTGCAGCGGCAGGGCTAGAGAGTGTAGAAGAGTAGGAGAGTACAAAATACTCTCCTACTCTTCGATACTCTCTAGCGTAGGAGAGCATTTTGTACTCTCCTACTCTTCTATACTCTCTAGCCCCGCCGCTGCAAACGCTAGCGAAACGCTGGAAGCGCTACGCTACGCTGCCGCAAAGTATAAACGCAGCCTTACGCATCAGCTGCCCCTCCCCTTCAACCGCAAGTCTTTGTTTGGGCATCATTACAACATCTAAAACATTCCTTTATTCCTTCTGAATAGAAGTAGATTCTCGATTCTCAAAAAGCGACTGGATCAACGAGAAATGCTTTATCTTTTTCTTATTATGATTTCATCACATGGTGGCAAGAGATTTACTTCAGAGAAGAAGTTGTCGAGCTTTCCTTCCTTGAAGGTTTTTTAGCAAGATTTTCTCGCACGCATCACATTTGTTACTGTTCGGTCATGAAAGGAGAAGAGCGGCAGAGAGAGGAGAGAGAGAGGAGAGAGTACGTACACGCATGGTGTTCATATGATTGCTATAATACCGCTGAGTGCATGCTGAGTTAAAAAGCGTTACACCTAGTGATACGCCGTTTTTTGTGATTTTGTGAGGCTTTAACTGTTAGGATCCTGGTCCCTTTTTTGCAATGGTTGCCTATATAGAGAGCGTACGTGCTTTTTGGCTCGTTCTGCAGTATATTTGAATGTATCGTGCTGTAGTCGTACTAGCCGGGCGTCGGCGGTACCGCACCAATATAGGCAGAGGAATTCTCTTGAAGTTCCACTATGATCTGAGGGAGCGTGCAGGACGCTAGCGCAAGGACACCGCCTCGTACGAAAATGAGGAGTTAGCGTTGAATCCTCGAAAAAGACAGCACCCATTCATCCTGTTCATTACATGCCACCGTTGACAGAAGTTTTCATCAGTGCTTAGCTGAGAGCATCGGGGGCCAACCTTGGTGCTTTGGTGTTATATATTTTCTTGTTTGTTGCTTGATTCCTCCTGTTAAGCACTTGGTACATCGATTTCTAGGTGAGCTAGGCCTCATTGTGGAGAATATGGGCTTACGGATGTAGAAGAGGAGGGGGCACCCAGGCCTAACCGGTGCATCTGAAACTACTCGCATGCGCAGCCCACGAACGGTGACTTGCAGTAGAGGGAAGAGCTCAGAACCACGACTTCACAATGTTTAAATTCTGCTAGTTACCTCATAGACTCGGCTTCTTCACACTGCCTTTACTAATTACTAGTGGGAAAGACAACGTGATCATTTATTAGAGTGGAACAAAATTTCTATAAATCTTTCACATTCTTGAAATCATCTTAGGTTGCAGTAGAGCCAACGGATAGGTCGTCTCATCTGATGCTAAATTTTGCCAAATCAAAAACAGATCATCTGTCTGCAAATCACATAGGTAAGAATTTGTCGATCAATTGAGATAATCGATAAGTCACTAAGGTTTGTCTTCCAGAGTACTTCAGAAAGTGGATTACTTGGATTTATTCCGAGTGGTCTGAGGATAAGGCCAGAAAGGGCAGTTGTTTGGAAGACCTATGGCAGAAACCTGTGGCAGAAAGGTTTGCACTTTGATGAGTGCATAATCTCGATGGAATATGGGTGTGCGTTTCATTCAGGGAATCAGAAGGCTTTTGCTTATCAAATCTTCGTGTAGTGAGCCATGTGGATGTCTCGACTGACGGTTACTCCGCTTATCTTCTCACTTTTGGAGGGTTCGTTTGTTCACCTTCTCACAATTAGAGGCATATCACCATATGCTTAGTTCAGGAATTCAAATGTAGTCGATTCGGTTTTCGCTCCTGGAAATATGTGTATTGTTTCGACTTCAGCACAACCAGGCATACTCCTTCGTACCCATAGTGGAATCGTCGTGTAAGTTGATAGTTTCAGCTACTTC